CTTATGCATATGCCCTCTCTTCTTAGCAGCTGGACGCTTCACTCTCCACCTAGTCCTCTGTGGGTATGTCACTGACTCTGGGCCCAAGAGTCCCCAGGTCTTGTCACCCTTCTGGCCAACCAGGTCTCCACCTGAGTTCACAGGAGTCTATTGAACATTGTAGGGCTTAGCTCACAGCTTCATTGCTGTTTTTCCCTCACTCTCCCTAATTGATGATGATAAGCGTGTATTCCCATTAAGTCTTAGTCTTGGAAGGGGGGTTAGGACTCCACTTTTGTCATGAAAATAAGCTGTCCTTTCTGGCTAAGCTGTTTTTACTGGCATTTTTTATTGCTTAGAACCAAAAGCATCCTGATTCACTCCTCCTTAGTAAAATGGAAACAATTCAGTTTCTAGCTCATGGGTTGGACTCCTAGTATGGCGCTATAAGATCAGCACTGGACTGCTAACCAAAAGGTCAACAGTTCAAACCCATCAGCCGCTCCTCGGAAACTCTATGCAGGGTCACTATGAGTCAGAAACAACTCGATGGCATTTAACAACAATTCATGGATTTATTGCAAGAAGTCAATAGAGTACTTCTGCAAAGCACCTACCAGAAGGCCTGGTGTGTGATCAATAATAGTAGCTGTGATTTTCATGACACAGGGCCAGCTAAACACACAGCACAGAAGCCAACCTAATGAAGACAAGGGCCCTCATACACTTACATCTCCCCAGGAGTCCGGATTAGCCCCACAGAGGCTAAGTCCAGCTGTTGGGGGCATTCAGAGGGCTACAGTGGTGAGGGAGACTGATGGTCAGGGTGGGAAGGAAATGCCAGGCAGAGGGCAGGGATCCAGGCAGGGACCACTGCAAGCCATGACTGACTGGATGCCATGAAGCTGGAAGCTGTCATAGATTGAATTGGGTTCCCCAAAACATGTGTCAACTTGTCTGGGTCATGATTCTCGGTAGTTTGGCAGTCACATGATGATCCCCCATGATGTGATACACCAGTAAGAGGATTAAGGGTGGGCTGCAATACTTTTAATCCCATCACAACCCTGATCCAATGTGAGGGAGTTTCCCAGGGGTGTGGCCTGCAATATCATTTGTTTTACAAGAGAAGAGGGCATCCTTTGGACCTGGCATCCCTGCTCTGTGAAGTTCTTACATCCAGAGGAAGACTCATGCCAAGGAACGTGAACATCTCCAAGGAATGCTGGGTTTACAGATGTTGAAAGAAGACAATGACCTCTCCCCAGAGCCAACAAAGAGAAAGCCTTCCCAACAGCTGGTACTCTGAGTTTGAACTTCTAGTCACCCAAACTGTGAGACAATATCTTCTGTTTGTCAAAGCCATACACTAGTGGCATTTCTGTCAGAGCAGTACACCAAGATAGAGTGCTGGGCAAAGCAGCAGACAGGGCTAGGAGGCCTGTTGGAAAGGGAAGAAATTGGTAGATAAGATTGCATGGCTAGGATAGAGCCAGATTACAGCGGCAAAAGGCAAAGATGGGCATTTCCAACGATAGAACCAGTATCAATTCAGCCCCTGAGGCATGTGGGGGCCATCTCTAATTTTACAACTGACATTGTATAAGATGAGGGAAGTAATGTTTCCAAATCCAAGTTCCTAGGTAAAGGCCAAGTCAGGGTTAGGATCCCAGCCCAACAGACTTCAAAGCCTAAGCCTCTGCCACTACAGCACCCAGCTTTCAGGGGAAGAATGGGAGACACTGCTGATCAACTTTAGACAGTCAAGTACAAACTGACTTTGCAAAGGCAAGTCCCCAAAGAGGTGTCATGAGACAATACCAGGTCATTCATAACCTCTAGGGAGCATCTGTCCAGGTATGTCGTTGTAGCACTGGACCGCAAGATCAGTTTGAACTGCAAGGCTGGCAGTTCACCAGTTGCTCCTTGGAAACCCCATACAGGATCACTAAGAGTCGTACCAGACTTAATGGCACTTAACAACAACAGTAGGTATGAGGAGTACTGGTGCGGTGCTGTAGGATAAGCACTGGACCGCAAGGTCCGTCGGAACTGCAAGGTTAACAGTTCATACGCATCAGCCACTCCTCAGAAACCCTATACAGAGTCTGTAAGAGTCAGAACTCTGGCACTTAACAATAGGGAGCACTCTGGAGTCACCGTAACACAGGAGGCAGGGTCCCCTAAGGTCATGCTGCCACCTAGTGGCCATGGGATGGCATTACACAGGCATCTGTTAAGTCAACCTTCAACTTCATTCCTTTGGATGGACCAGGAAAGAAGTTTGCTTTGTTTTCCCATTCCCTTTCAGAAACAGGAGGGGGCACTGGCTTGATTTCACCTGCACCAAATCCAATCCAATAAGCTTTTCTTGAGCTCTTACTAAACCGTATGAGCTACACGATGTACCAAATGCCATGAGTTAAGGCTACTAGGATGGGGCAGGTGGGAGGTTAGAGAGCACATGAGGCAGACACATAGAAAAAGCTTATAATTAAGTGAGATAGCATGCTGTGGTAGTGGTTATGTGCCGTGGAGTCGGTTCCAACTCAGCAACTCTGCATAAGGTTTCCGAGGCTGTAAATCTTTACAGGAGCAGAAAGCCTCATCTTTCTCCTGCGAAATTGTTTCAAACTGCTGACCTTGAGGTTGGCAGGCCACACTGTGTTGTTGTTGTTGTTGTTGTTGTTAAGTGTCATTGAGTGGATTCCAACCCTGTATAGGGTTTCCAAGAAGCAGCTGGTGAGCTTGAACCACCAACCTTGCAGTTCAAACAACTAAGAGTGATAAATTAAGAGGGTTCAGGAGCAAAGATT